ACATCTCCCCCATCCACGAACGATCAACAAAAGGATTTTACTGAGTTAGCCAGATTTTCGTACATTTCGCAAAATAAAGGAAATATATTAAAAGTAAAAAAAAAAAATTGGTGAGGCAGGGAAAATGGATGCGGTAGGGAACGAGAAACTAGTATTTTTCTTATTATGTTGTTGGGGAAAACATTTTGGAATATGGTTTTTGAAAAGTGATCTTCCTTAGTTTACTACACAAATTGTAAGATTTGTTTTACTACATTCCTAGAAAACCAGGTCACTAAAATTCGGACCAATAAGCCTTCGAACCAAAGACCCTTCGGACCAAAGGTACGCACCCGTATCGGATATCAACGCTTGATCAAATAATACTACATAGAGCCTATAAATAAAGTGAAGAAGGATTTGTTTTGTGAAAATGCATTAAATTAAACACTATTTGTGATGCATTAATGAGGCTCAATAAAAAATGATTAATTAATTACCCTGGCCCGCATGCCTTCTATGGTATAATTTTTTTTTTTTAATGTGATTATTTTTTTCTGGAAAGTTTGTTTTTCCTTTTTTTTAGAAAATATGTAGTAGATATTGTTTGTATTATCTCAATATGTATTCTACTTTATGGACTTAGCTTAGCGGGGACTTAGCCGGGGATGTAATTTTTACAGAACAGTTTTGAGAGAGCAGCTAGCTCAGTCGGATAATCTGGTGGTAGCCGCTGTGTGTGCGCTGAACCGTGGAGATCTCTAGGTCCCCGGTTCAATTCCCATCGCTGCCTCTCCTTGTGTTTCAGCTAGAGGGCTGAAATACAAGTTACAATAGCGCATCGTCTTTCCGATGAGACGTTTAAGCCGTTGGTCCCGTGTGCATTATGGCCCATGTGCACATTAAAGAACGCAGTACACTCTTCGGAAAAGAGCTAGCATCGTCTCCCGGTGTACTGCCCAATCACCACCAGAAAGACCCCACTGGAAATAAATCTTCTTCTGGACTTTCGTGGGCTATTCTTGTTGTTTACCTGAATAAATCAAACCCAATCCAGGCCCACATGCATGCGAAAGTCCCGGCCACGAATGCATCGTCGTATCCCTGCCTGCGATTTTTTTCCCTTACGAAACATTGGCATGAAACTCCACTCAGACCGTCTCGGATTGACTCGTCTCGCCGAGTTCGATATGAATAAGAGCAGGCACTTCGCCATGCTGTGACGCTCGAGTATTCTATTACCATAACTGTTTGTTGTTTGTTTACCTACGGTTTGTCATCTTACCGATTTATGGCCTTAAAGTCGTGTCTGCCAAATAAAGATTAACGTATAAAATGCAATTTAAAATTTTGAATAGCTTAAATTAAAAAGGATCAAATATTAACTTCCAATCAGAAACAAATTGAAACAAATAGTTTTCAAATTCAAACTATATTCTTCACAGCCTCCAAGTGAGAAAATGGTATGTACTGATATAATACTACCAATAAATCCTTTAATTGAATACCAAGGTCGATCATGGAGTTATAATTAATTTTATAACTCCATGGGTCGATCAAGAATGCGCTAGATCTCGATCGGGCGTTCTCACACGCGCTCATCGGATAGGAAAACGGTTGACTTCGGATCAGGATCAGAAGGCTGTATAGTATGAAACAGGCCAAGATCTGTGCGAAAGAACGCAAGGAAAAGTTAATTGACAGCGTTAACGTACTTAATTGTACAGTAAGTTGATAAATTAACATAAACATGTACATGTAACATGATAGATATACATTCTCAGATGCCTCTAAACAAATATCTCAAAAAATTCGTCAAATCAGCGAGTTCACTACAACAACTCCCTGATCAAATCCGGTTAAATTGAGATGGATGACCTTGCTCACTCTTTCATTCTAATTCTTATATACATGACTTTACCACAGTACTTAGTTTTAATACTGCATTCGAACTTTTGATGGATGACTTAGGCATTTACCAGTGGCGTAACAGGCGGGGGGTTGGAGGAGGAAGACTGCCCCCTGACGGTTTAGGAAGATATCATAATGACCAGACTCACAACACCATGCAACCCCTTCTGCACTTCAAAAATTGTCAATAGCTCCTTTGATCTAAGCCGCCAGGTATTCTCCGAAGTGGCGTAACCACCAGGGGACAAGGGGAAAATATCCATTTGTGGAAAATCTTTCACCACCCCTTGAAGATGCCCTTTTCACCCCCTGAATGTGCCTAAAAATCTAAAATTTCGCACGCATAGTAGGCAAATTTCCTGAGTTTTGATCAATTTAAACACAAAATAGTCCCAAACTCAAGAAAATCCAAGATAGATCGTATTACCTAAAAGAAGGACCTCAATGTGTAATAATGGTGAAAGAATATGTTTGTAATAAATGATGCCATAATGAAAATGCTTATACAGTTTCAAACACACGTGTGTTGCCTAATTATAAGTAAGATAAGCCGTATGCCGTATTTTTTTCTATATGGGCGTGGGGTGGGTATTATAACCTACTAACGGGGAAAATTATTACCTTTGACCACCCCCACCCCGACCCAAGACCCCTGTTACACGCTTGCTATTTAAAGATTGTCTATTAAACTTTGTACTGCTAGACATGCAAAATAAGATCTCGGTAAGATGTAGAATATTTGCTATTGAAACTAATTTTCTCCATTGATCGTTCCAACAGGTTGAAAACTGACACTGAATAGCAAACAATCCTTCGGAAAAAGACGCGCGAAAAGTAGGCAACTGGCGCATTTTGGCCTTGTTGTGAAAATAGCCTTCCTTCACACATGGTTTTAAAAGCACCAGCAACCCCCTAACCAACTGACCATAGCTTATTCCCGGATCAGCGACATACACTTTGCAAATAACCCAGTATATTCAGGCAATTTCAAAACAAGATGAATGATAATGATAATGGAGTGGCGGGTGGATCATTTTTGAACTGGCATCCAAGTGAAGGTGAAGCGGACACACAAAGCTCATCCTGGGTTGACTTATTGAAATACGCAACGGAAACAGGTCCTCTGTACGATGGAGCCAGAATCACTGTTGTTGATAGCATCGGACTTTTGCTTGGATTTTGTCTGGAGCATAATGCTACCAACCAAGTTTTATCAAGCATACTTGAGATCATCAGACTTCACATGCCCAAAACCAGAAGAACAATGGGAGATCGCCGGGAACATCACCTCAAATCTACATATTATCTGAGAAAGATTTTTGAGTTCAGACAGAAGGATGTATTTAAGAAGCATTACATATGCGGGACATGCACCACGGTATGCGAAAACCTAGCTGTAGCAGTATGCGAGTATTGTAAAGCGGATGTAGACAAATCAGAATATTTCGTCACACTAGATGTTGCCAGTCAACTCGAGGAATTGTTTAAAGGTTAGTTTCATTTATTTAAATTCAATTTATTTTTTTTACAACAATGTAAATGCGTGTATTTTCGTTTATTTACTTCTTTTTATAAGGAACATTTTTGATAAAAAGTTTAGCCCGTTGCAAGTTTTTAGCCATGTAGGGACACTTCCTTTTTTTTTTTTTTTTATAAGAACCAGTAAATTTCTTGCCGATTTCACACCCAAATTGTTCTTATTTTGTTCTTATTTTTACGCACTTTTCAAACACAGAGAATTATAATTTTACAATATTATATTACTGTACTCTATATAGAGAGGACATAACATAGTCACACCTAAAGCAAATAAGGTACATATAAGATTTCTTGGTTTTCTATTTAAATAAATAAAAACCTCATTTAAAATTTTACCTCAGCCTCAATTTGTTCTTAATTTTCAAGCAATTTCACCCTCAGTGTTCTTATAAAATGTGTTCTTATTTTTTGAAAAAAGTGTATATACATTGCGTCATAGTTCTAACCTGCCGGACACTTTCTCTCATACAACTGACTGAAACGCTCACACATTAGTGGAGCTGTGATTAAGCTAGAAAAGATATATATATATATATATATATATATTAACGACCTCCTTCTAGACGCCGAGTTATCAGTTAAGTGCTTTTAGCGTGATGGAACTCATTCTGAGATGTAACGTGAAAAGATTTGAAAATATTTTGTGCCTACTTTAAAGATTAAATCAATTTCTCTATCCCTGATATCACAATAATTTTTATATGACATCACCACAATGAATTAGCTTACAGCAAATTAATTATATTATTAATATAGGGTAGTATAAACCCTACAGCATCTCAAAGATTCAATCAGACTCTACTGTAAATAATGAAATGTTACCAAAATACATCATTTTAATGAATAATTACATTTTTTCAATAACTATCATAAAGTTTATACTACAGTATACTTTTAAAAGAATTCATTCATGGTATTTTTATTTAAATGTTACCTTCCATTATTTGTGTAAAAGATGAGTATAAATTGTTAGCTAATAGGTGTTGCACGACAGAAAGCTATAACTACCACCACAATCTTTTTAAGAAAATTAGATGGTTTTTTTTTTTGTTGCAACTACCACTATAATTTTTAAGATAGTAAATTTAGCATTTAGGAATAACTTATTCCTCCATGATTTTAGTATAAAGAAACACCTCCACTGGTGATGATTCAAAATAATTAAGTCAAAGGTTAGGCCCTATCCACTTGGCATTACGCTTCACTTACAGGGGCGTATGGTGAAAAATCTAAGGGGGGTTCGAAACGAAAGCACAGGGGGAAAGCTGAACTCGGAGCAATTTAACGAACCTTTTAGAATTCGTGGGGTGCGTTATTTGTGAGTGAAGCGAGCATATTTAAAGGGCACTTTCTTTAAAAAGGGGGGGGGTCGACCGCACCCATCGACCACCCCCCCCCCCACGGTACGCCCCTGACTTAGTACTAGGTAGTGTAACGCCCCTGCACTGGGCACTACATGCTCATTGTTTGCTTGATGTTGATCCTATACGGATTGTAGCTCCTATTTTTGCCTGGATGGTTAATGATTGTAATGGATTTATTATGATTTTTGTCTTTAACAGGTGTGCAAGTTCGTGGAAACACATTCAGACTTAAACTACTCTCCGCCACCATGGATGTGTCGGCGATGAGTCTGGTAAAGAATACCGAACACCATAGTGGAAAACATGGCTGCGGTCTATGTGAAGATGAGTCAGTTTCAGTCTCTAAGGGGAGAGGTCACACAAGTGTGTATCTGTGGCATGATGGTCCAAATGTTCCAGGACCAATGCGAGGATGAAAACTCAAGCTCATGAAGCATTTAAAATGAGCGATGACGTAGATGCATCAGTAAGTACGGTACACCCTAGTTATATATTTACACTGCATTATTTTAATGTAAATAATCTGTATATGAGCGTAAATATTAACGAATATAATCACGAAAATGTTGATGAAGAAATACCCTTGAATGTTGACAGAGATTGTCATTTAGTGAATCTGGAATAATAAGAAAAATAAGGATAAGGAAAGTGGTTGGTGCGGCACTTGCGTTTCCAAATATTTCGCTGTGTACACCGTTTTGTTTGTCTGTTATAGGCAAAACTGGTGCACTTGGGCCAGAGAGACCAAAATACACTATGTATTTAAGCAGAGCCACGGGAAACCAAAATCCGTCCGACGCTGATTTGTTAATCTATTTGAACTTATATAATGAAATTCAATACAGTAATAAATAAAAATAGGCCTATTGCAACATTATATTTCAGGTATTATTGTTAGGCTACCAAAACTAAGCTTTTGTTTAGATTATCTATAGAAAAAAAATGAAACTTTTACAAACAATAATAATAAAATATTATTTTAATTTACTATAACAGTAAATTTATATTTATCTTCATTTAGTTGGTCAACAAATTAACGTATCTTCTGATACATCTTGCTAACTTGCTCACTGTGTGTGAATGAGCAAGAATATCCAGTAGCAAATTCAAGAGGGGCCCAACCGGCCCAATAAAATTTTTTAAAATTAAAGAAAAATTGAGAAGAGAGGAAAATTCTACTCAAACTTTGAGTCCAAGAGTGCCATATTTCAGGCCTCTAGAGGCTCCATAATCATAAATTTTCTTCCCTCAGCCCCAACATTGTGGGGCTGAGGTAGTATAGACCCTCCATCTGTGTAAGTCCCTCTCTGGGCCCCCTCTATTTCAAACTACCGCTGATCTCTTATAAAATTTCATTTAATTTTTTACAGGTGAAAGGAGTGAAAGGATACTCTGTGCTGTCTCTCGCTAAAGACGTAGATGTGTCAACTCACATGTTGGTAGACTACCTACATGGTACTTGCTTAGGCGTCATGAAAGCCATGATTTGTATGTGGATCCGTGATAAACAAGAGCCTTACTATATTGGCGACCGACTAGTGGAAATAAATCGCAGGTTGACGAAAATAAAGCCAACAAATGATATAACGTCAGGTCCTCGTTCACTAAGTAACGAAATTTCCCATTTCAAAGGTTAGTGTTAGCCGGTATAATTTATGACTAGTTGTATTATATGTTTTAGAAATTCATTCCTATAGGCCTAATAGTAGGCCAATACTGCAAAGATTGTACGAAATATTTTAGGAATTAATGAAAGTTAATGAAAGTGATTTCATGTTTCTCAGTACCTTCTACATCTCAATGTACATGCCACTTGATTAAACACAATCAAGAGATAGTAAATATGCTTTAACCAATATTTTGTTTTCGTTAACAAAATTGATTGACAACGTAGGCCCTATCTATAATAACCCAGTAGAGGAACAAAACCATACCCACACAATTTGACAACACCTGCCGAATGACTGGATATTATTCATACTGTACATTGTATAATACTTAGTTTTTGTTTTAATTCTAGCATCAGACTTTCGTTCGTTTCTCTGCTACTATGGGATGGTCGTGTTAAAAGGCATCTTACCCGACGACTACTATGTCCACTTTTCGATGATGGCCATCGCCATTCACACCCTTTCAAAGGACGATATAGATGCAAAGGATCTGGCAATGGCTGACGAACTGCTGCACATGTTTTACATTCTCTTTGATGCCAATTATGGTATGTGCTATTAATTTATTTGCTATTTTAAAACTAAAATTTAATTACTTTTTTAATTCTTTTTATAACTTTTTAAATTACTGTATGTTCAAATTTTAATAAATTTTCTTTGATATTTGAATTTTATAAATTTGTCTGTAATTATGTGATTCTTGTTTTTTACTTCATGTATTGTTTGAAAGGGCCCCAAATGATCAGCAATGCTGGATGGGTCACCCTTTGAAATATGGTATTAAATTAAAAAAAAAAAAATAAAAATTTATATTTAAAATTCCTTCGGGCACAATTATGTTATGAATTAGTAATTTGAATTAATATCCACGAAAAAACACATGTTTTCATACATACGATACATTTTCAAATACTCAAACAAAATATTTACAGAATAACTACTAGGCCTATGTATTGCGTCAGGAATTAAAAGTGTTAGTTAATTACATTTTAAATAAAATCAATAATATAAAATAAATACTAACATGATTTTATAAAGTTGGCATTGAAATCGCTTAAGATATTTTAACAAAGATTAATATCACATTAACACTACAGCAGTTAATTACATATTCTCATAGGGGCCTACATAAAAAGTATAAAGGCTTTGAGTTATTGTTAACTTGAATAGATTCCTTTAACATATCTATCAAAAAAACCAAGCTTTTGGTGAACAAAATGACGGACTGAATCTATATTATTTATTGGAATCAGTTCATTATTTCAAATTACACTCAGATCTTCATCTTTACTATTAAAATGCTTCATTATATCTGTTATCCATGTACTGACAAAGGACTCTTTACTTTTCATATTACCTACAGGACAAGAAAACTGCACAATTCACGTTCACAACATGTGCAGGCACCTTGTAGATTCGGTCAGGAGAGGTGGACCCGTATGGGCATTTGGCTGTTTCAGCTTTGAGAGTAATTGTGCGCAGATGATTAAGTACATTAGAGGACGAAGCAACGACATAGGAATGCAGGTATACGTCATATTCCATATTTAACTATCTTCATGCGTGGATCCAGTATTAGGGATCGTGCCCCCCACCCCCGTTTTGCCACTATATTTTAAATTTTCAATGCATATCAATGTTATGTATTGAAATACGCCCTACTCACTTACTATTCTAGGAATGTTGTGCCCCAACTCTGGATCCGCCCCCCTGGTCTTTGATAATACTTACATTGCACCTTTCCATTAATCCCACTCCGCTTACTTACTTTTGCGCCGCGTATCGGATGGTTCTTTCTTTTTTCATCCCCGCTTCTCTTTCTTTTCTGCTTTGTTAAACTGTTTGATCTTTATTGTTTTAATTATTCGATTTCTTGACTGTAAGAGTTTATTTATATTTATAAATCTATATATTTATTGTTATGTATTGCTACTCAGGTATTATGGAATCTCAACTTTGTTACAGTGATTTAGTTCACTTTTTGGTTCCTGCCTACTCCCTGAGTTGACTGTATGTGTTCTGTCTCTTATACACATCTAGATGTGTATAAGAGACAGATGTTATGTATTGAAATACGCCCTACTCACTTACTATTCTAGGAATGTTGTGCCCCAACTCTGGATCCGCCCCTGGTCTTAGATAATACTTACATTGCACCTTTCCATTAATCCCACTCCGCTTAGTTACTTTTGCGCCGCGTATCGGATGGTTTTTTCTTTTTTCATCCCCGCTTCTCTTTCTTTTCTGCTTTGTTAAACTGTTTGATCTTTATTGTTTTAATTATTCGATTTCTTGACTGTAAGAGTTTATTTATATTTATAAATCTATACATTTATTGTTATGTATTGCTACTCAGGTATTATGGAATCTCAATTTTGTTACAGTGATTTAGTTCACTTTTTGGTTCCTGCCTACCCCCTGAGTTGACTGTATGTGTTTGTTGTTGTTGTGTTTCTGGCAAAAAAGAATAAGAATCCCGGCACCTTTGACATTGTTTCTAAATTCCCACAAAAAGACAGTGTAAAAACATGAACAAACAAATGCATTCGTGGGACGACACGCGTGTTTGTAGATCATGTGCTTACTTCTGGCGGCTGTGATTAGTCGTTTTTAAGGTCTTTTAGTCTTACTATTTATGTGAATTTGGGTGGGTTTTAATTAATTTTATTGGTTGCTTGAGGACGGGGTGTTGGGGTTTTGTATGGAGTTTTCTTTGTCAATTAAATCATGTATTAAACATTATTCAGAAATGTACTTTTTCTATATTGTGTTTTTAAATTAATGTAACTTAAATTTGATAACTCATTTAATTGTAAAATAATATGATGGCTAATTGGGGTCTGGGGTTGTGGTTGGGTATTAAGATGCTCTTTGAATAACTATTAAATTATTTCAGTTATGAGGTTTTGAGGTCGTAGTTGTTCGGTAATGCAATTTTTCTATATTGTGTTTTTAATCTATAGAATGTAACTTAAATTGATTATTTAATTGTAAAATAAAATAATGACCAATTGGGGTCTGGTATTAAATTAGGGTTGCGTATTAAGACGCTTATTCAATTACTATCAATTTATTTTAGTTTTGCAATTTTAGCTCATCATGTAGGCCCTATTTCATATTAGTGTATAGAGGTCGGAGATAGGCGGCGCGGTCGGTTTAAACTGAAAGAATTTAAATACAGGGGGTAATATAAAAAATAACAGCAGTTATATTTAATGCAAATGTATGTCCAATTAATTTCTTTTAATAAACAGGTCGTAAAGAACTACAGTTTGCTGCAGCGGGCAAGAAGTTTGAAAGAAGCAGCGAGCTGCCAAGATGTAAAAACAATCATATGTAGAGTGTTGGAAGATAACACAAGGTCAGTAAACCTGCAGTCACATAAAATACATTTTCCATATACAGGTAAATTGAAATGAATAGTTAATTTCAAAATGTACTTCAGTAGTTCCTTTGTGTTTTCAAGTTCTACTATTTTCCATTTTTAACCAGAAATTATGACGATCGATATCGGTGCAAACGATCCTACGCCTCAACATTTGACATAGAGGAGATAAAGAAAAAGTTAGATTGCGGAGACGTAACCGCCATGAAAGTAACAAAAGCACGGAAGGCATCACATAGGGAAGGCGAGATACTGTCCTCAATGGATGTAGGATCAAAATCAAGGATATCTTACGTAGTTTCGTACATGGACAGCGTCAAAAAGTATGGCCGAATCTCGTACTATCTTGACGTGGTTGCTAATCAGAAACGCATATATTTACTGGCTAAGATACAACAGAGTGTTATCATTTCTGAAAATGCTTTTAAGAATGGATGCGAAAACAGCTGGAAAGAACATAGTCTTAAAGACATAACAGGCAGTCATGCCAAGGAAATAGAATTCAAAGGGTATGTGATACCTGTAAACATTTTTTTCTTGATTTTAAATTAACAATAATATTACGCCAAATAGATAAAACCAATCTTTCTTGACCAAATTTGAATAGAGTGAGCATGTCTGAAAATAATGTCGTTTATATGGTTCTTTTAATAATATCTGTCTTAATAGATGCATAATAGATATCTTAGATAGATATTTTACTTTGATAAACATAACATAAAATAATCTTCATTTTGTATGTTTTCGTTTGATTACAGGTGTGATTCCGTCTTAGTAGACGTTCATGATATTGTTTCGAAAGTGCTTTTTATGGAGACTGGACCTGATCGAGGTGTTGTACTTCCAGTTGCATGCAGATGGGAGCAGGATTAGAACCTACTTAGGCCTATGGTTTGTCTATTGTCATTTATGATTACTTCACGATTCTTTCTACCAATCCATTCTCAAATCAGACATGGTGAGCGTTTTGTACGTTTCCCGTGTGTAACCTGGGACAATTAAAATCACATAATTTGTTCAAAAACCTTTACAGTTGAGTTATTTGTCATTTGAATTTGTAATTATCATAAATCAAATTTGCTGCATACCACCCTATAAGCTGCTAAACATATCTGTCTTAATCTACATCTACACCACGCTTACTTAATCAGTACGTACCTTTTTAGTTACATGTAGCTAAAACAATTTTTTTACATTATTTAAAAGTTCATTTCATTATAATGATAGTCTTCATAGTGAAACGTTTTAAAGTGTATTCTGCAGTATATAAGTATAAATTTGTTAAACTGATATAGTTTAACTTCTGAATATTGATGATGTTAAGCCTAAAATGTAGAAATGGAACATATACAAAACGTACAAGTGCATGGATTTGCGTTTTACAGTTTTTTGTTTATTTTATGGCATGATTAAATTGTCGATTTTTGCTTAAAAATAACATTCATGATATATTTTAGTTTAAGTTTAGATGGAGAAAATGTAGTAGGTATGGTAAAGATTAAAGTGCTATAAATTACGTTGATAACTTACATTTAAAAACAAATTGTCAAAAGCGGAAAAGATGACCGAGGAACAAACACATGTATCTTCATCTGTACATAGAATTTCTGTTTCTTCCATTGTGTTCCATTGTGACGATTGTAATAGCAATGTTTTTTTGTTGTATAAAATAAAATAAATGATTCGTTTAATTCTAAAACAACCAATATTATATATATATATATATTATATATATAATTATATATATATATAAAACTAAACCAATATTACATATATGTATATACATATACTATATATATATGT